CTTCAGAATTTTTTACCTAAGCTGTTGAATCTTAAGTACTAATAAAATACAGTCCACATCACCAGGACAGTACAGTGAAAAATAACAGAAGTGGCAACATGTTATATGTAAATAGCACCTTCTGTCAAAAGGCAAAGACATTTTAGGAATAGATGTTAAATAAAGTGACAATTTAGTTCCATTACTCACACTTAGTAAATGAGAAAAAAAAAGGCATGGATAATTCAAGCTGTCTGAGAAACGTAATACAGAAAGCCATTATCAGAAACAACACTGAATATAGATTCCAAGGGCTTCTTTCCCTGGTGTTTGCATAAAAAAAAAAAAAGGATGCTTTGACTTAAAACTACAAGTCAATTTTAGCCTATATTACTCTGTTCAGTCACTGCCTCCCACTGCTTTTAAGTATACCTGTGAACTGGTACCTGTTAAGTGAAGCCAAAATCACATTAAGGTAGTTTATCAGGATTAATACTATCCTCACACTTCAAAAGAGAAATAAGGGGGGGCGGGGCATAAAACAAAAAAGCTCCACGCTCTGCTGCTTTATTCTTCTTACACTTGGCTCAAGTAACTGCCATCAACTTCAGCGCACACAACTCTGGTTGTGCCAAAGAGCTGTTCCTGGATTCATCTGAGTTCACAATCATATCAAAATACTCCAAAAAGCATTCAATATGGTACAGCTTCTCAGGCTGGCACCATCAGTTTTTTCCCTGGCATGATACTCCTACTTTCTGGCAACCCTTAAGGAGCGTTGGTTATGAAGCAGTCACACACATGCAAAGATATGCTTGTATGACTTGAAAAAGAGATAGCCCACCACAGAAATTCTTCTTTTTTAAAACAGTAACGTTCTTGGGATTTATGACTTGTTTTACTGTGGTATTATAAAATCGAACACTTTGAAAAGCTCTTTTCTTAAGGCTGTCCTTTAAGTAACACATTTCAAAGCAAGTATTTTCATCTTAAAATATCACAAAAATGGAAGGACTCAGATGACCCCAAACCAATATGTTTTAAGCAAATAATAGTGCTGTGGGACTTCACACAAGCATGCCATGTTTTAAGTGAGGAAAAATAAGTCACAATTTGGTCAGCTTTAGTTAACTTCACTTCAGACACAACTTAGTGGAGCTACACTAGAAATGATTGCGGTATGTCAAGTGTTGTTGGGACTTCAAACAGACTTGACATAGCTCAGTTAGATGTTAAGAGGATAAATCTTAGTTCAAGACAGTTTAGGAATGGAATAAAACTGATTAGTAAAAAGCTGTATATAAACAAGAACAAGAGCTGGGGACAGCAAAACTAAGTGTCTGTGATGGTTGGTAAGAAGACTCTGTTCCTGAGTTTACAACAAGATCAGATGAGGATATCAAATCATGTAGTTAATAAACCAAATTCTGTTAGTTGTATCAATAAACACACCAAAACATGCTCAGCTGCATTAGTCCATTTGAGAGGACACCTTGGCCAAAACACATTTCAATGACACTGCAGCTAGTAAAACAAAGCACTACTGTAACTGTGTTTCTACAGCAAGAGCCATGTATTTATACTCAAATCAAGAAACCAAGCAGAAAGGTCACCATCCTCTACTAAATTCTCCAGTACTTTTCCACAAAAGTGTTATGAAAACATCCCCTTCTACATGATGTTTCTAACACTGTGACATTACAGCTTGAGGTACTGTGGTCATTGAACAACCTCCATGCTTAAGCAACTCCTGTACCACAGGGAATCATGCTGGTACTATGTAGTGCATGGAGATATAGTCTTCATCTCTTTTCTTTCATTTGACATGTATGAGTAAAGTTTCAGCAAGAATACATTAAGATAATTCTTGTGCAGAGTTTAAACAAATGTTTCTGATAGTATCTAACTTGGTTTTGGGGTTTTTTGGTTTTTTTTTTATTATGACAGACACCACTGGCTATCTATACAAGAAGATCACTCAGAGGCAGGAAAAAAATTATTACATGTTCCAGATGTCTAAAGGATTTTGTGTATTTTATTTACAATTCCTTTAAAACGTTCTGACCAGCTTCATTTTGTCTGTTCCCAAAGAGCAGGGAGCACAGGAATGTACAGAGTCTTTAACTTCTTAGAAGAAAGGCATCAGAAAAGCACAGTGTCCAAAAAACGAAATCCTCATTTTACTCTCTTGTTTTGGTTTTATAGTTACTATTGAACCTATTAGATCAATAGTAATGAAAATTATAATTCATCTGTCTTGCCAGCAGAAAGAAAATGAAATTTTATTTGATCCGCTGTTAATTCATTCCAGATAACTGCCCAAACCTCAGTCAGCTTCAGGTTAGAACAATATCGAGTCCAAATGCTACAGTTTTTTTTCCTTATAGTTTAAAATAATTTACAAAATATAAGTTCTTACTCAGTCTTGGAACCTCAGAAAACTTTGAAAGTGATGGGATGCTCAGATTAATCAGCAGCTTATTCTTAACAACCAAAAAACCAAAAAGCATTTTAACAGGAAAATTTAATTGCTGAAATCCTCCACTGCCCTTAGGAGAACCTATTTACAATAAATTTACTGTCCCTTACAAGTATATTACGGTGAAAAAAAAAAAATCAAGCCACAAGGAAGGAGTAGGAGTTTTGTTTCTTGGGAAGATTTTTACAATTGAGATATTTAAGGTAAAAGAAACTCCTATGACTCAATACATAATGCACACAAGAAACCACACTATAACAATTCTTATAGAAAGGATAATAAAATTCCTTGTGTTTTGTATATGTGGATAACACGTATGCCTAAAAGTTTATTCTGGCATGGTGCTGAATCTATTACTCTATGACCTTCCTTCTCAAACCATGTATTTTAATAGAATTATTATCTATTTATAAGAAAAGATGGTACCAATTCTTGCACTATGACAATAGAACAGCATTTACTGCCATTTTCAATTTCAATTCCTCAACAATTTCTCAACAGATGTAAGAAACACGCTGCATAAACTTAATCATCATGGCGAGGCTTCGCGAACGAAGATTTGGGAAGGCTCTATCCACATTTGCTACAGGCACGCTGGTGGCTTATGAGGCCAATACGAGACAGACATATCCGATTGCAAAAGGCACAGCAGAAAGACTCCTTAGGAGGTGTATTCTGCAATTTACGGTTCTTTCTGCGCTGCCTTTTTTCCTCGAGAGTGATCCTGCGTGTGTTCTCGAAGGAGACAGCTGCGTTATAGATGGTGTGTCTCCAGGCCTCCCGATTTGAGGCCAGAGTAGACCAGCTGTGTTGATCAATATGGTCAAGGCTGAGATGTTGTTTCAGGGAGTCCTTGTATCTTTTCTTCGGGGCTCCTCTCATGCGGCAGCCAGTGGCAAGTTCACCATAAGCATAAACTTAAGCGTAGTGACAAAAGGTTTTATTTCCTAGTTGCCTTACAGAGCTCCAGTACTAAGAGACTGCTCTTCATGAATTTATAGACTGCAAGTTGAAAAATTGTTTCACTAGGAGTAAATTTGCAGTAACTACACTCACTTATGGAAGAATAATTTGCCAGATTTTCTTGAAGTACTGTATATCTTCAGACAACAACAACTTCAGTCCAGGAAAAAGAGAACACAATAATAGGCTTCAAATATATAAAACAATTATTAAAATTGTTACAATAATGAAAACATTTTAATTTTAGCTAGAGATTCAGAGCAGAATACCCTATTAACCCTAAAACCTTTGAAGAAGCTGTAGAATTCTCACTTTTGGGGATCTAAGGATTTGTGGAAGAGGAGGAAAGAAAACATGAGTAATCATCCAAATCTTACCACTCCTTTGTTTCAGACTAATGCAGTAGCTGACTGCTAGAAATTCTTTTCAGCCTTGCAGTACTTGACATCCCTACAGTACTTGGTATTACCACCACACTTTTGTGGTTTCATTAATTAGAAAAAAAAGTTGTAACTGCCCCATTAAGAGTACAAAATAATTAAATGTCAAGGCATGCTCACAACAGAAGAATCTGTTTCATAGTGCTAATACAACTAAGGTAGCAGCTTTACTCTCATTTCAATAAAAATATATTCTGCATCTCCCTTGCTTGTTAGTGAAGGAGGATTTTTTTATCTTACTCCATCAGGTAGCTGCAGATGTATTCCTGAGACTTGCTCTATTTTTCAGCTTATCCTGTTCCATCCTGAATGTCTATGACATGGGGTTATTTGTGTAGCACACATGCAGTGTAAATAATTCCAATATACGTAGCAGTTTAAGAGAATTTCAAAATTATGCTTAATAATAATTTCACTACTGAGGAAATAAACACCAAGTTACATGCTTATGCCTACCACAGCCACCCAGTGTACAGCAAGGAGTCAGCACGAACACTTTCCAGTGAAATTAATGAAGGTGGACTTCAATATCCAGCTCACCATTAGAAGGATGAGAGAGTTTTACATTCAACCCCGACCTTTCAAGAAGTTATTCATGTAGTAATTACTGAAAGAAAAGCAACCTTACTGCTGCATCAGGTATGGGGCGGTTTCTCCCTCAATACGCTCTATTCGCAGGCAAGTAAATCAGATGTTCTTACCTGGAAGACCTCACGTCTGAGCACAGCCGGTGCTGGAGCCACGAGCATCCCTAAACTCAGCCCTCAGCGCAGGGCTGGGGCAGCGCTCAGCCTTCGAGCGCTTCCCGGGAGCGGGGACCAAGCTGTCAGAGACGCGCGGCCACCGGTCTTTACGCTTATAAAAATGTACTAAACACCGGCACCCACGCACAGGTGTCACGGCGCGGGGTGACAGGGGCACCGGGGCCACAGGCGGGGGAAGCGCGGGACGCGCCCGCTCCCATCGCGGGACGCATCTCCCCGGGTCCCCAGGAGAGGAGCTGCTCGCCCCAGCCCCAGCCCCAGCCCCAGCCCCAACCTGTCCCGCCGCCCCGCTCCCCTCGTGGCACGACCCTCCACACCCAGGGCTGGAGCCCGCTTTAACCGGAGGGAGGGGGAATGCGGGGCTGGGGTACTCACATGCCAGATGGCGAAGAAGATGAGGGCGGCGCAGAGCACCAGCGACAGCATGTAGCAGAAGGCGGCGAAGGTGAAGGCCATGGCGGGGAGAGCCCTCCGCGCCCCCCTTCACCTCCACTTCACCGGCAGAGCGGCGACCCCCCGAGCTGCCGGCGCGGCGCAGTGCCCGGGCAGCGCCGCACACGCCGCGGGGCCGGGCGGCCGCCGCGCCCCCGCAGCCGCTGCCGCTCCGCCGAGCCCGCCCAGACCCCCGCAACGCCCCGCGGCCGGGACGCCCCGCCCGGCCCCTCCGCCGCGCTCCCGCCCCGCCGAGGAGCCGCGGTGGGCGGTCCCGAGGGGCGGGTTCCCTCCGTGGAGGTGCGGCGGGGGGTCGGGGCTCGGCAGTGCGGGGCTGGCGAGGGGCTTCTGCTGCCACTCGGGCAGCGGCTGCTGCCAGCGCCGCGTGTTTCTGACTGAAATCCTGTCACGACAGCGTGAGAGGAAGGAGCGTAGGTTGGGATCAGTTCAGGCCAAATCCTGAGGAGATAATTGTATGCCTAAACTCGAAGTGCTTTGGTGGACGGGGTTTAATTACTGTTTTTCCTTTCAGGGTCAGGTAAATCCGATGAAAAGCGCCCCAGGTCCGGGGAGAGGCCAGCCCTGGAGCGTCCATCCTCTGATGGAGAGGGGACAGGGACCCAGCCCAAGATCTCATGAACCGCTGCAGAGTAGCTCAGCAAAGTGAAATCAGTCCACCCTTTCCCACTAGGTGAAAAAGACATTTACTGTTGGAGTAAATAAAGACAAGCCTTTCTTAAATGCCATCAACTGGGAGAGTGCTCTTGCTGGCTTTCAGGTATATGCAGTACCCAAATTGCTGAAGCACACATTTAAAACAAGGAGTGAAGGATAAGTTCCTGCCTTTGCACCTTGTCTTTAACAGCATCCACAGTGTCTCCAGACACAACTTAGCCATTTATACAAGAGATCTGTTTTAGATTTACTATCAAAAGGGTTTCCACTTCTTTGGAGCGCACCAGCTGATGCAATACGGGAGGTTTGCAAGCTAAAACTTTTCAGGAGAAAATGCCACAGAACCATCAGAAGTCCGATTTAAAAATATTTTGAAAACCAGAGATGAAAGCTATATATTTGAAACTTTCTTACAAAACTGAAAAAGAGTTTCAGCTCACAGCATTTGTTCTATCCTTGTATGGATTGAAGGAGGTTCAGTAACAAAACTATGTAGAAATTTGCCAGTGGTTACCTGTTAAAATCAGACTTCATGGTACATGGTAATTCGATCAAAGCCGAGTCCAGTGGAAGCTTTCTTTTGAAATGTTTACAATATCTTCTTGTTTAAAAGTATGGTATATTATTTTTAACATAATATGCACTTTTATCCTGAGGAAAGAGTGCTGATTTGAATCAAGAATCAAGACCAGTAATTAATAAACCAATCAGGAATAAACTGATGGATCTAACCTTTCATAAATGAGCTGCTCCAGACTGTACGTGTGAACTGATGCTTTAATTAAGAAGGACAGAACATAGCAAGTAGTAATGAGCTTTGCGTCATAAAGGGGTGCAGTAAACCCATTGTAATTCTCTGACCTTTTAATTTTTTTGCATCTGAAATCCTGCAGAGCATATGTTTGTGGAAGTAAATGGTTTATTCATAACCACACATTTTGAAAAGAGTAGTAAATGAGGTACAGGAGTCGTGCTTGGAAATATTTATTTATTTTGTCACAGTTACCTCGGTATCTGGATATATATTGCCTATGTTAAGATTCGGTACAGAAAAACTGATACTTCTAAGAAAATGAAAATAAAACATTTCATTCTGGTGCACTTATATGTATACACCTGCACATATATGCACATCTGTGAAAAATATAAATATACTCTAGCTATCATGAAAGACAGAAGTGGAAACAACCATTAAATGTCTGTTTAGCATCACACTCCAAGGTAAATATTCTGCTGTTTTTCACTGTCTCTCACCGACATTCCAGCTATGTATTTGGAGCTCTTCATCGAACACACAGGCAAAACACTTATTTTTCATTTTGCGAGACAGTTCCACAGCCAAAGATCACAGAGTCTTTCCTGGTACTGATTTTGAAACATACATTGCCCCTGGCCATATTGCTAGCCATTAATCATTGCCAGTGGCTGTCAAATTACAAAAGTTTCTGACATACAGTGAAAGGAAAAATCTATAAAGATGCATTTAGGACACTTTCGTCTTACTGAGTTCTTCTTACATAACACCATGAGAATACCTTAAGTATCCTCAGATGTTTAAGTGATGGAGAGTGATGGAAAGATATACCCTTCACTCAGTACATCTCTGATTTGTACTCAGAGATTTGTCTGAGTAATCACTAAAAAGTCTTCCTTATCTCCATCTTGTTACAAACTCATTACAGCTCTCTGTGGTATGAGGACCTCACAGCAGGGTGAGGTTCCTTTGTCATTTATGAATGAGACTACTGCAAATCATGAAGCAAACGGCGAAAATAATATGGATGTGCCTGACCATTTACTCCTTGCTTTAAGCCCCTGTGAACACAGCAGGAACACCAGTCTATTTATTAGCTCCCCATATACTTCCGTGGTCTTGGTCCTAACCTTCACATAAACTAATGGATCTGATCCTGGCTGCATGAGAAATTACAGTCCAGCACCCAGCTGTGCTCCTTTGAAATAATGTTTATCACAGAGACCAGGATGGAGGGTGTGGGAGCTGAGGATGCAGCATTATCCTCTGAAGGGATCTGGAATAAGAAACTAGAAAAATACAGAGTATAGGATGTAGATTTTATGTATAAAAAGTATTTTTTTCCTTTAGGAAAAACTGTTGCTTTCAAAGATTGTTATTTTAACACTTCTTTTCCGCAAATAAACAGAATTACATCCACATGTTGAGACGCACATGGATTTATTTTTTTATTACTGGAAATAAAAAGCTCAGAGGTTCTGCAGCAGTCTGTTAGGCAATGCAGTAATCCTTGCTCTCTGGTGTTCAGCAGCTCATTTTAACAGCCACAGTCTCAGACTTAGCACCTCATCTTTCACTCTTCTGTCTTCAAAATCTCACAAATGCTCCTGCTTCCTCCATACAAGGAGGTATTCCCAAGCCACTTCCAGAAGGGACTGCTGTTCTTACTCCGTAGCACACACCTGTAACCTGGGAATGCAACAGCAAAAATTAGTCAGAAAGCTGGACCATGAGATAAACTGCAGACAAAGTCAGTAAGAAATGGAAAATAAATTATGTACAGATTGATTAAAAATTGCTTTGTAGCCTCTCCTCTCATCTTCAGCCAGGGGCTATTCCTTTTAAATGTATTTGTTGATGGGTCACATAAGGTACTTCAAGCTTAATAACACTTCCTAGAAGAAGTTTTTACATGAACTGGTTTTGTGGGCTGTATCCCACAGTACCCACAAGCAGATCATGATAGTGTGTTTGTAAAACCCGTGGAGAAAGATGTTTTACAAAAGACTGTAAGGGCCTTTCACAGATTAAGTTTCAGAATGCTACAGCTATCACTGTTCAGATTTGGTACTTTTGAACAGTAAAGAATATGTCTTTACCATGCATATTTGTTGGACAATATGACTGTAATACAGTCTGATCCCAATTTCACACAGAGTCATCACAAGAGGATAGATGGTGGTGCTGCTTTTGTACAAGAGATACTCAGATGCTGATTTTCAAAGCTATCACTATTCAACTATGATCATAGGTCAAAGCACAAACATGATTTGGGATTTCTTCACTTAAGATGACTTTTTAGTTTGTGAGGACCTCTATGAGGGACCAGAAAAATTCAGTCACTAGACAAGTAATAACGGAGTTCATCTGGTGAGCAACAGACAGTACTCAAAACCAAACAACATCCAATTGTGAAAATAGATCGTGAAAACAGATTTAATAGATTCACAAGTTCAGGATGTCCTTACATTAGCAGGTCTTGGAGCACTTGATTTTATGGGAAATGACCTTTTGTGCTAGATAATGAAAGAATTTGAAGGCACTGAAAGAAATTTCCAGTGGCTAATTTATAGAATGGCATCAGAGATGAGAAGGGACTGCTAATGAGTCCTTTCACCTCCCAAATAATTACCTCAACTGTATAAACCTAAAGGACAAGTCTTTAAAAGACCAGTAGTCCCCGAAGTGAGAGGCTAAATCACCATAAATCCACCAACAAGGCGATGATACGCCTTCAGTCAAGGTGGTTCATAGTTTTAGGATTCATATATTATTGTTACAATGTATAGTTTTGAGTGTAACATATTACTGAGTACCTGCTAGAGTAAAAGCCATTACATTAATTATAGGAGAGAACTGTCATTCATAGATTAGGTATTTTTAATAATACATCTGACTCTCTCTTTTGTGAAGCTTAAGTCATACTGAATTATTAAGAATGCTTATATACAAATTGCTATCATTGGGCTTTACTGCTAATATCCCACAGAGATTAATAGAAGCATTTCATAGTCTTATGCATTATTATTTCAGATTATCTGCAGATTCCAAATGAAATGACTCTATTACTGCATGGTCAGTTCACTTTCAAAAGGTTACCTTTGCAATAATAAAGGCAAGTGACATTTTGTTAATGAAGTCTTATTTTCAGATACCAGGAATATGATAGTTCACAAACCCACTGACAATAATCTCATTTTACTGCCAGCAGTTCCCACCTTCTTTTGTAGGACCTGGATGAATAAATTTTAATTACATTATCACAGGGTCATAGAAAAGTTTATGTCGAAAGGGACCTCAGGAGGTCTCTAGTCTGACCTCCTGCTCAAAGCAGTGCCAAGTCAAGGTCAGACTTGTTGTCTAGGGCTTCATCTGGTCAAGTCTTGAAAACCTCCAAGGACAGAGATGGCCCAGCCTCTCTGGGCAACCTATTCCACTGCCTGTCTCAGGTCATCTTCAGCTGAATAGGTCCCAACCTATATAATTTCCAGGGCTTATTCTTTCCTTAGTACACAACTTTACATTCATCCCTGTTGAAGTTTTTAAGGTTTCTGTCAGGCTATAATCTCCATGTTTAATTACAAAAGCACAGATTAATATGCAATACAGAAATGTTCCTAAATAGCAAAATAAGACTCCTCAGAGCATGACACTTTGTAGTGCTTTGCTTCTACTATTCACTTGCCAGCCAGTATCAGAATTACACAGTATCACACTCATGTCCGTCATGGCCACTGGCAAAACTGAGGCTTAAGATTTGCAGCTCAGATCACTCCCCTGAACTGAGTGATCTCAGTTACTGTTCTGTCCCATGGTTTGGTTACCACAGAGGCACGACACACATTTTGACTCTGCATGTTACTGATAACTTGCTAGCAAATAGAAGAGTGTTTGTCATCAGTGTATCTGTGAGTTTTTGTGTTATCTGCAGGGTTAGTGGACCGATTCTGTGAGCACAGATATCACTGCACCTCTCAATTCCTAAGCTGTGCTTTTCTGCTTTATTGCTCCAGCTTCCTCTGCCCCTCTGCCACAGAGTTCTTTCCCATTAGCCTGTCTTTCCCTTATCTTCTTGCTAGTTTATACTCTCAGCCTGGTCCATCTACTGCCTCCCACTCTCTTAACTCCTCCAAATTCAACTTTTATCTTCTGGGATTTCATCAAGACTGCTTCCTCACCAGTGCTGAAATGTCTGACAGGATACTAAGCACTCCAGAAAGACAGGATCTCTGCTCTTAGTTCCGGGACAAAGTAGCAAAAAGTGAGTTGACAAAGCAATTGCAGGGGAGGTCCTGCTTTAAGGTGAAATGGAATGGGGAAAGGATTTGCTTAATTTCAACAATTCTCTAATAACTATGTGTGACATTTTCAGAAGGATTAGAATTAGCCAAAGACCCTAATTATTCATGGCAGCAGCAGAATTCATGTTCATCTTTCAAAAGTTACCTCCTTCCAGATGTGAAGTCCTTCCAATAAATACATGAAAGGCAGGAGCCTTCCATAAACTTAGTAGTAAGATTTTCAGCATTGGTGAAATAACACATCTACTTTTTTTCCAAAGAACATTTTTCTGAACTGTTCAAGACCCTTAGTCTGGAGAGAAAGCTTAACATAAAAATGAGAGCCCGTGCAGGGAGTAGAAAGTAAGGCCTCAACATATATCTGAACCAGTCTTAATTGCCTTTGACATTACCTAATATCCTTCAAATCAATACATGGAAACTATACACAAGGAATGCTTGCTAACATTGCTTAATCCTGCCAAGAAGGAATTTAATTTGTGTCTGCACTGGGGAGGGAGTGGGTTACAACTTTATCAATTCTGAATTCCATCAAAGGAATGAAAGTGGAATATCAAATTTTCTGAATAAGTAACTTATGAGAAATCCTTCATCAGTTGCTGAAGATCCTGCAGAGCTAGTTACGCTAATAGGAAAAATTGCATAAAATATGCATTTGTCCAAACACTGAAATAACATTCTGAGCCAAATTCCTCTGATTTTAAAGATGTTTCATTTTTTTCCTACCCCAGAGCCTGTAACACTCTGCTAATCTACAAGCCCTGCTGATGCTCTCTACACCTTATGGCTCCATCATTCTGAACAGACATACCAGAACAAAGACAAATATGTGATGCCCTTCAACAGTTCTCCTTCTCAGAGGATGATTAAATTCTCTCATATGAAACTAAATGCTCTTCCTGTTTGTCTCTTTGTACTGAGACTGATACTGAATGCTTATCCCTGCTGTCCCAAAAACAACAATCTGGTGCAGTAAATCTAGACCTGGTGTCTTTGCTATAGTTTAGAAAAAAATCAGTATTTCACCAAATTGACATATGTGTTCTAACTGAATTAACGGCATTAGTCATTTTTAACTTGCACACATAAATGAATAGTTACAATATGGTCTGCATAAATAACAGTGTTGACTAATGAATACATAAACATAATTTTATGGCTGTATTTATTCAGTAAAGTTGGTTTTGATGTAGTTTTATGAGAGGTGGGCACACCTATGATGTAAAAGGAAGGAGAGGCCATGCAGACATACAGCAGCATGTGCTGCAGCAACAGTAGGAATGGAGTGGTTGCTGTCAGCTCAGTACCCTTATTACACTGCCTCCTTGTCTTCAAACTTGATAAATTAGTATCAGGTTTGACTTACCTCTGTTTGAAGGGAAAAAATAAATCAGTTGCCCAAAAAACATGACTTGTATTATTAGTACATGAATAACAGAACTCTTTATCAAACACTGAATTTAAGTAAAGACTGTCCGAATTGATCCCTTAAGCTTTTGTAACTTTGAAACACATTCCCCATGTTGAAGCAGAGAAAATAAAACCCCTATAAATAGGGATATTTTTAACTCTAGGAGTAAAACTAATGATTATAGCACTCCGTATCACTTAGAATTTCTAGTCACTTCAGCTAAAGTCCCTTATAAAAACTATTTTAGCATTTGACAACAAGTACTGAAGAATTCATATTGTGAATTGGAAAAATACCAGAAGAAAAGGTTGGGGGTGGCAATGGAGGAGTAGGAACATGTTTAGCAAGAAATCTCATGAGAACGCTGTTCTGGAAGATCATTCCTATTCTAAATATAAACCTTTAATACATTAGCCATCTTGGCTTTAACATCATATAAAATATTTCCAGTCTGAAGCAAAACCAGCAAGACAAGATCATTCTCTGCAATCTACCCATCCCTTACAAAGAACAGAAGGTTTGCAATTCTGGTTGGAGGTTCTAGTGGATTTTGTACCACAAGTCTCCTAATTTGCGTTCCGCACGTGAGGAAGAACACCTTTATTGTGTGAGTGACCACGCACCGGAACAGGTTGCTCAGAGAGGTTGTGCAGTCTCTTTCCCTTGAGATATTCAAAAGCTATCTGGACACAATCCCGAGTAACCTGCTCTAGGATGACCCTGCTTGAGCAGGGAGGTTGGACCAGATGACCCACTGTGGTCTCTTCCAACCTGACCTATTCTGTGATTCTCTCATTCTTTTTCTTATTGTTATCTTGAAATGTCTAACTAAACTTGCCTAAACCATAAGGGTCAGATAAGTTGCGGTCTAGATCTTTAGTTTACTCAGGATGCCAAGTGAAATACTCAGTGTAACTCTAGGAGAAACAGTGTTTATGATGTCATAAGTAAAAAGTCTGCCCTTGTGGCACTTATTT